CAGTCAAGTTTGGTTCACATTGTTTCAGGAGCCTGCGGACCCCTCAGTGTCTCTCCGTGGGTCCTCATTAAGAGATTCCTTTTCTCTTCCTTTCTGTCCCCCTACCTGCAAACATGTCTGCAGCCCCATTGTGGACAGCCTCTGGGATGCAGCAATGAACTTGACCCGGTACCAGCCCCTTGGACAGGGCTTGCAGACCACTCGAGAGACAGACATGCCCAATTACAGTCGGGAACGATCGGTGAAGGGGCAGAGTGCCTCAGAGCTCATGGGAGGGAGCCACTCACTCCTGTAAGGCAGGGCGTCGAGAGGGCTTCCTGGAAGAGAGAAATTCCTGGCACGTCTCTGGAAACAGGCAAGGGTACAGTTTTATCAGTTCTCGGGCCCATGCAAGTCCGTGGATGAGAAGGACACAACTCTGCTCCAAGGGACCCCAGGTGAGGTGGGGAGAAGGCAAGGTGCACAAGCAGTGATGCCCTGGGGTCCCTCCAAGTGTCCCAGGAGGTCAATTTGCTTCCAAATGAGGATATAGGATGGGCTCCATAATTTGTTAGAAATTATGAAGATTTTTTTCAGAAGATTTATTTATTTATTTAAGAAAGAGAGAGAGACAGAGAGAGAGGGAGAGTGCTTGAGCCAGGGGTGGGGTGGAGGGGGCAAGGGCAGAGGGAGAGGGGAAGCAGATTCCCTACCGAGTGGGAGCCTAGTTCAGGGAGGGGGGAGGGTGTGTGTCCCTCCCACAGATCACAACCTGAGCCAAAACCAAGAGTCGGATGCTTAACCAGTCGGCCACCCAGGCTCCCCAGAAATTATTAAGAATTTAAAAATAGTCACAGCAGAGCTGTCAACCAGGCATGGAGCGCTTGTTTCTGAGGTCGCACACCTGTGACAGGTAAGCGCCCAGGCACGCCCTGCTCTGGAGCCAGGCCAGAGTCCAGGTCTTTCTGACTCCAGGGCAGGAGGGCTTCTCACATGTCAAGCTCCCTTCTCACAGGACTGGGGACTCTGTCATTCGAGGAGGGAGTGAGGACGAGCTGCATGGCTTTGCAACGCGCATCCCCCCCCCCCCCC